TCGGATTGAAATTGACCCTGTCAGGGAGGGGGGGAGGGGCGAAATGTCGGGTCTGAGGTTCGAAAAGTCTGGACGTTTTCGTTGGTGTTCGACGACTTTCCAACCTCGGGATGCCTTCCGGCAAGTACGCCTCGCCGAGGGCGATCCATGAATGTCCGGATCGCGGGAGCAGGCGGGAGCACGCATGTCGGGACACAAAAAAACAGGAGTGGGAAGGGTGGGGGGAGGAGCGTGGAGGAGCATCAGGGGAAGGAAGAGCAGCATGAATGGCGGCAGCAGGACGATGTGGAGGAGGAGCGGGGAGAAGGGATAAGAGGGAGGGGCGGGCCGAGGAGAGGAAGGCGAAGGCGCGGGAGGATGACGGGGGGGTCGCGGGGAAACTCCGGCGCGATGCAAAAAACACTCAGGCGCGATGACGATAGCAGCTTGACCATTCGCACTTGGGAGGAGCTGGATGACGAGGGAGATGGTGTCGACGATGGTGAAGACGATGATTATGACCATGATGGTGGTAATGAAGATCATAGCAATGACGACCATGATGGCGACGATGATGATGATGAGAACGATGATGATAATGGCGCTGACGGTGATGATACTTTCATCCCCGCGAAACGGCGGCATGGAAAGGTTGAAATTTGATGGCCAAGTGAGTCCAACAACCAGCGCGCGGGTCAAGGCCCGTGCCACAGACGAGAGGCAGAGACAGAGAAAGAGAGAGAGAGAGAGAACAGAGCGATCAGCTAAAACAGCGACCACGCCCGAGAAGAACCTCTCAACACCCCTGGCCGAGGACGGGTCGGAGCTGGGCGGCGGTCCTAGCATTTCGTCGCAAACCTGCGGCGCGCAGGGCGGAGCGACAACCAGCGGAAGCTCAGCAAGGCTCCGCTGACGTCTTGCCGCGCGCAGCTGCGCCAGGTCACCCCGGGGTGCCAAAAGGCCGACGAGCAGCCGCGAAAGTCTGCTCAGCCTGCGCCGATCGATCGACGGAGGCGGCACGAGAAGCGCTCGGGGAACCCGCCGAAGGGGCAAAGGTGGCGGCGTCGCTCGGCCGCGGCGCAGAGAGAGTGAGAGCGGAGGCACAAAGAGGCTAGAGAAAGGAACGACGCCGGGTGGCATGCCACGCAGCAGCGTCAGGGAGCGTCTCTCCCAGAGCACAACTGAGGTCCGCAAGAGGCCGCGCCGCGGCGACGGGCCCAACTGGGGGCCGCGACGCGCAGGCAGCCGCGCCAGCGCAGCGGAGCAGCAGCAGCGGGGGCGCGCAGGGGAGCGGGGACACCACAGCAACAACAGCGGAGAGAAGCAACGGCAGCAGGGGCGCAGGCACAACGGCACAAAGCCGACCAGCCATAACTGGGGGAGCTGTGGTCCTTACCCCCCTGGGGGAACCCATCGCCTCGCCGATCTCTCGAGAGGGGTGTCGAAATCGATGGGTCCCCCAGGGGGGTAAGGACCACAGCTCCCCCAGCTGTGTCTGGCCTGCAAAAGGCGAGCGAAAGAACCAACCAAAGCACGAGGGCCCCAGCGACGGCAGCCACCCAGCATGCGGGGGGGGCAGCAGCAGCGCCCGCAGAAGGGGGGGGGAAAGGAAGTGGAGTCCATCGAAAACCTACGGTTAAGTCGGGCATGTCCCCCTACAGGCCGATTTTGGACGGAAAAATGGAAATACCCTAAAAATATGTTGAAATGGCCCCAAAAAAAAAAGTCCCCAGACTATGTGTTGATTATCTTTGAAGACTCCCCCTGTAGAGGGACAGGCCCGACTCAAACCTGCGGCGCGCAGGGAGGCACCGAGACCGCGCGGTCTACGCGCGTGCAGCCCGAGGCCGCACAAGCGAGCACCCGCCGCCTCGGGGCGCGCATCCCCCGCAGAGCTGCGAGGCGACCGCGCAGAGGGCCACCCCTCGCAGAGGGGCCGCGACGTCTGACGATCTGAAAAGAGGGGGAGAGAGAGAGAGAGAGAAACAAAAAAAAAGAGAGAGAGAGAGAGAAAAAAAAAAAAAAAAAAAAAAAAAGAGAAAGAGAGAGAGAGAGAGAGAGACAGACAGAGACAAATAACAACAAAAAACACCCGCGCACGTCAGAAATAAAACGCAACAGCGGCTCCCCGACCAGGCTCCCTGACCAAGCTCCCGCACCTAATGGCCGCGGCTCCCTGACAAGGCGGCCTGGACCATTGGGTGGTGCCTAGAGTGAATCCGCGCGCGGGCTTTCACCGGGTCATTAGGGAGCAACGTTGGGCCACCCAGAAAGCTGGCCTAAGACAGATAGGGAAGCCTCTGAAATGCCGGCGCAGAACAGTCGTTGGTTCGGGCGCAGTGGCAGGGACGCGAGACCTCGACCGTGGGACCAGGGCTCTTCGCTAGAAGCTGGGCGGGGCGATCGTAAACTCAGGCGACGAAGTGCAAGGCGTGCAGCACAATGTCCCACGTAATGTTCTGTCCCGCCCGCTGCACACTGTCATCATAATCGAACAGGGCAACGTTGAAAAGCGGGCGCTCGCACTGACACCTGGAGCGAGAACGCGCAGCGCAGCACGCCCCAAGTAGCACCTGCTATCTTAGACAACCTTACGGACGACCTGAAAGACCCCTGAAACTTGGGAGAAAATCGCCCCTGGAAGCCATCGGGCAACGCGCGTATGAAGGCATCTGAAGACGACGACGCAGCTGCTCCTGAAACCCACCAGCCTGGAGAAATGACTAAACGAGTGGGATGTGAGACTGCCGTGCCTGGACCCCATTAAACGCGCGAAAGTGCGCTACCGCCATGGAGACCGTGCGCGGCCAGGATGAGGGTCGCATTGCGTCGCGAGGTCTCCGAGAAAAAGGCGGACTTTCGAAATCTGGCTAAGTCAGGAAACTCGCCCCCCCCCCCCCCCCCCCCAATGCCTGATCACAAAGCTGAACGCACATCGCGCGGTTAGACAAACATCGCAGACCCGCCATCAGTTTCTTGCGCATCTTACGTTCGACTCTGAAAACCTCCTTCGAGGCAGGGCAGACCTGCGTCGCGTACCTTGTAGACAAATTGCAAAGCGCAGGGCCAATCTGCGCGAATCGTCATCGCGAGCCCTCGAGACGCAGCCCCCGAATCCCAATGCAGCGCTGGCGGCACTTCTGCGGGGAAGTGTTCCAAGCGACCATCCACCCATTAGGCCCAATCTGGGCCCCCAGATCTCTCGCGCGACGAACGAGGTGGATACTCTCGGCCCCATTCCCAAGATACTCCTAGAGACGCCGCGCTTGCCGAACCGTTCGGGGACACGTGGACAGACCGCAATAAACCAGCTCGCTGCCCCCCAGATGAATCTGGGATCCAGCCCCAACATCCGAAATCTGGAACAGGGGAAAGCGCAGGGGCAACAACAATTATACGCTCCGAGGTCGAAACCGCAGATCATCGGCGTGCCTCAGGATTCCTCGAGGAAGGCCGGGCGTCAGCCATCGTATACATGTGTCTCTTTGACAAGCCAAGAGCTGAATCCATCGGTGCCGCTGAGCTCCCAAGCAGTCCCCCCCCGAGTTGTCCCAAGGAGGTGCTTCGAAGTGACCTGCAATCTCAGAGTGAATCTGCATCGGGGCCAGGGGCCGAAGACGGCGGACCCCGCAATGCTTGGAAACGCAGCCGAAAAATGGGCCGGGAACATGCGCGTCAGATCCCGCCCTGGCATCTGCCGCTGCAGCCTCTGGACGTCAGCTCCGAGACTCTGATCTGTCATAGACGAGCCCCATCAGACGGGCCTGAGGCCTGGGAACCGCCCCGCAGGCGACCCGCTCCAACCTCCAATTCCAAACTCCAGCGAAAGGTCTCTGAAGGTCTCGCATGCTTCCCCGATTGCGGAAAAACGCCTGGCGGGGAGCTGACCAGGGCTTCAAAACTGGTGAGAGTTTCACCGATAACTCTCAGAAGGTCTCACATGCTTCCCCGATTGCGAAAAAACGCCTGGCGGGGAGCTGACCAGGTCTTCATGCGGAAGGAGTTAAACGACATGGGTCGTACTCCATCTGTCGAGCCACGTGGCGAAAGGCAATCGACATTGTCTTGGAGCCCGCGTCAGCCATCGCAAAAGGACGGCGCGCACTGGTAGCGCAAGGAAGAGGTGCAGTGGGATCTGTGGGACACTCGCTCTCGGCAGAAGTGACCAGCGGCATCTCGCGCGCGAGGGCAGGGGGCCCTTCGCCCTTCCTCTCGAACAGGCGGCAGTAGCGGCCGCAGAGGACGGATGTGGGAGCATGACATGTCCAGCAAGAGTGACTAAACAACGCCATCAGTTGTCTTCGTCTCTGGATCCTGGATCTAAGCCTCGTCTACACCTCGCCCCCGCAGACCCCCGGTCAGAATCTGGCCCCAGCTCACCAATGCGATCAAACTGCAGACCGCAGGCGAGCCGATCCACCAGCGGGCCGACCAGTCCGAATCATTGGGCAGGTGTTCGCGTTCAGCGTGGAAGATCGGATGAGAACCAACCCGAGAGGGTGTGCTCGGGAACTCAGGGAGGCCGCACTTGCACAAAGTAGCAATCGCAAGAATTTGACCAGAGACATTCCAAAAAACTGGCCTTCCAAATCACGGGGCAGAGAAGTCGGAGCAGGTAGCAGCAAAGTCGGCAAGGCAGAGGCGGCCAAGACGACTCACATGCAACGGCGCCCCATCACGCGCTCCATCGACGAGTCGGACCACGCTGGCGCACTTCCATCCACCGAGGAAATCCCAGAACAGACAAGTAATGCCGATATCGGTCCCAAGGGCGCCACCCAGAGCCATCGCCGCACTGCGCTCCGCCCCCCTCAGAAGCAACATCGATGGCGCCCCCAAGAATTTCCAGAGTCTTTGGGGGCCTCATGGATGCGCCGTAGAGATCGACTGCGACTGCGAGCCCACGCAGGCTCACCAGAGGTAGAGAGATGGCCGTTGAACACATGCTGGATCAAGAACAGAGCACCGAATGCCCGCAAAGATTGAGCAGAGAGAAGCGGACAAGATAATCATAATTCCACCTGCGATCTCAGAGACACGGTCATGGGACCCAAGATTCGCTCCACGAAAGTCATGACGCAGTGCGTCAGCATCGCCAGGTGCCCCATGGGTTTCCTGCAAACAGAAAACGCCTCCGACGAGGATGCGCCAAGATCTACTTCCGCAGCCGAAAGGCACGCAGAGAGGAAGAAGTGATGGAAGCGAAGGGCCCCCCTGGTGTTCCAGGTGGGATCAGACGCAGACGCAGATGCAGACAGCGGAGGAGAGAAGGGGAGAGACACTTCGAATGGCACGCCCCCGCGACCTAGAGAAGGCGAGCTCGACTCGCCCGAAGTCGCGTGAGAACTACTGGAAGAACAAGTGGCACATGCGAAATCCGCTTGCATCAGCGTCGTTCTTTGACAACGCTGGGCCCTAGGGGCAGGCAAGCCAGCGGGCTCCAGCCCGTCAGGCTCATCCTCAAAAAAGGCGCGTGGGCACCGTTTCAAGAGCATCCGGAACTCCTGCAAGGCGAGCACAGGCCCGAGCGCACGAAGCCCAGCGTCACCCTGGCTCAAGCGGATGGCCCGAGGGTTCTGCGGGCAGCAAGTGCGATGCAACGGAGGGCCAGGGTCCTGCCTCGAGCGAAGCCCCAGGACGCCCCATCCGATCCAATTTGACTTCGGTTGGACCTGCTCACTCTGTTCTTCTTGGGCTGCATGACGAAGCCGACCCACCTTGAAGGATAATGGCCGGCGCTGGGGAACACGATGACGACGAACACGGAGATGCCGGACTCCTGCTGCGTTCTGGGGCGTTGGCATCTGGTACGCATCACGGAGCTTCCGAACATTGCGGGAAAAATCTGCCGCCAACGCTGGGAAAGGAAAGTCCAGCGCGACTGTCTTCTGATGACAATATGCACCAATGCGAACTACCTTCCCTGCCGCTTCGGTGGGACAGTTCGAGACGATGTCCTGGGCAACTCGCTCAATGCCGAAGCCATGAGACGATCCTTGAACCCGAGCACGGGGAGATGATGCGCGTCTTCGAGAGCTGCCTACGAGACCTCCCCAGGGGCACTTGCCGAGGCACCCAAAACCACATCAATGGCACGACAGTTGCCAAGGTCATAATGAGACTATGGGGCTCTGGGCGCGGTCATCTGTTGTAAGTGTTTCACTGCATCAGAACGAGCCTGACATGCGATCTGCTTTGCCACCCACTCATCGAACCTGGAGCTCAACTCATTGACGGATTGATCTTGGATCGCAATCGTGACAATGAGGCCTGGTCCCTTCTTGAAGTGCATCTGCCCTGTCGCCTTGAAATGATCGGCACGCATCTATTTTTTGGGTCGCAGGGTCGACACTTATGGCAGAAGGCGATCGAAAGTGCGCGAGAGAGGGAGGAGAGATTGAACCAAAAGAGAGTTGAAACTCGCACGCTGGATATGATTAGGCTAAACTACAGCCACCTCGTGGCCACGGCTCTCGAGTCAGGCACTTGGCTGCGTCCAAGCTCGAAGCCACGGGCCGCAAGTTTCGAACTCGACCCTGAACACTATTCAACCAAAGTGGCTACCGAGGCAGACGGTAATGGTGATGATGGTGAGGATGGCGATAGTGACTATGATGATGATGACGATGATGATGATGATGCTGATGGCGATGGCGATGGCGGCGACGAAGATGCTGCTGATAATAATGCCGATGATGCTGACGATGCTGATGATAGTGGTGATGCTGGTGATGGTGATGACGGTGAATACGATGGTGATGCTGATGACGATGATGATGTTGGTGATGATAATGATGATGAGTATGATGATGATGCTGATGATGATGGTGGTGGTGGCTTATGATGGTGATTTACCCAACGGGACCAATAGCAATGACAACCTGGCAATCGAGAGCAACCGCAGCCGTGCCATCTCAGCCCTCGAAAGATGGGCGCCAAAGCAACTAAGCAGGCATAACTGGAAGGGGGGAGGAGGAGGAAACAGAGGAGGAGGAGGCGGAGGAGAAGGAGGAGAAGGAGGAGGGGGATGATGATGATGCTGCTGATGATGATGAAGATGAAGATGAAGATGAAGATGAAGATGAAGATGAAGATGATGATGATGATTATGATGATGATGATGATGATGATGATGCTGATGATGTTGATGCTGATGATGCTGATGATGATGATGATATGATGCTGATGATGCTGATGATGATGATGATGCTGATGATGATGATGATGATGATGTTAACGGGCCATAAAGAGGTCTCTGCTCCGACGAGATCTCTTGGACAGTGCACGGGCTCTAGCATTCACAAGGTGAAGAATGGTGTCAGGGCCCTGTCGACCATAATGACGAAGCGCATTAAAGGTAGCAAAAGCAAGATCATGAACCAACAGGCTGGCTAAGAGTTGGTCCTGCGATAACTGCGATACATCAGACACAAAAAGGCGCACTAACATAGGGCAAGACGAGAAGGAGTCAGGAAGGACAGGGAGGACACGAGACAAGGCAGGGATAAGCACAGGGCACTCGAACATATGGCGGATGCTGTCCCCGCACTCCTCGTCGCAGCACCTGCAAGGACGGCAAGCCTGGCGGCATCGCTTGGTGGTCGGCCAAGCGTTGCACACTGATTTCAAATAGGCAACAGCAGTAGAGGGGGCAAGCAGACGATTAGCGAGCCTTAAATTCAGGAAAACTCTGTTCGTGATCCAATCGGGGGCTTGGGGGTCAAAGTACTTAATTCGGGGCATAAGGAATCTGGAACAGGGCTTCAGATCTCGTGTACGAAGAAAGCTGGTGACTTTCGCCTGAAGATGAGGGGTGTCCTCGTCGAACCTGGCCGAGAACCGCGGGATAGCCGTCAGGCTCCGGAAGTTGGAAAGGCACGAGAAACACATACTGCCGTGAAGCCACTCAGGGAATCGACGCACCGCCAGAATGTCCCAATCCTCCTCCTCCAAGAAACATAGTTGTGTGAACATAGCCTGAGCAGCCGTAGAGCACACACTCGCACGATACATCGCAGCACGATTCTCTTGCAAAAGAGGACGGGGGCTGCACTTGAAACCATATCCTGAGAAGTTCCTCAAGGACTCCGTAGGGATAGAAAACCGTGGACTCGCCGTAAGTCTCTGCAGCACAGTCTGCTCAGCTTGACGGACAAAGTCGGGCACTGGCAACAGCTGAAGGATATGCGAGAGGACGGGGAAGGAGATGATGTTGTATTGTTTGAAACCTAAGTTAAGGCCAAGGTTGAGCCCCTTCACATAGTCCCCACGAGCAATATATTTCCGAGAAGGACCAGTCCAGGAAGCGAAGGGACCGCCAGGACCCACATGCACACCTAAATACTTCCCATGGAGTCGAAAAGCAAGTTGTTCCACAGGGACCCCACGAGCAGCCAGGAGACCACGGACCCGGAGAATAAGTGCCTCAGACGGGACGACGACGACACATTTGGAATAGTTCAACTTAAGACCAGTGAGAGAAGACGCAATGTTGAAGAGCTTGAGGACCTTAACAACAACTCGTACGACGTCGCCAGCTGCAATGCCTACATCGTCCATGAAGGCAAGCGTACGCCCTGGCAACGGTTTGACCAGCCGATCTATGACCCTCAGCAGCGGGTCGAAGCACAAGTTAAAGATAAGGGCTGACAATGGACAACCCTGCTTCACACCAGTCTCTATTTTGAACCCTTCAAAGACCCGCCCACTCATCAAGATCTGAACATCCATATCATAATACAGTTCTCGAAGCGCATTGATATAGTTAGAAGGGATGCCGAACGAGCTCAAAACGAAAAAGATCCAAGAGTGCAGCAGCGATGGGAATGCAGCTGCGAGATCCAGGAGGAACAGGCCAGCACTCTCATACCCTCGAAAACACGCATATTCCAGAAGAGAGCCCTCCAGATCGAAAATGTTGTTGAGGATGTTACGCTTTTTGATACCGCCAGCCTGGAAGGGGACCACCGAGAACCGAGCTTGAAGGCCCAGGGGAACCGCGAGACCGCCAGAAATCAACTTATTGTCAGTATTCGATAAAACGATCGGACGGGTTTGTGCAGGACCACGAACAACCGTAAGAGAATCTTCTTCAACATTCTTGGGGGGGAAGACGACATAGCCGTGGTTGAAGGCAGGAGGGAGACGAGCACCACGCAACAGAGCGACATAGGCTTCATATAAGGTATCACGAGTGAGAGTTCCACCGCACCGCCATGCAGAATACGGGATGCCATCAGGCCCAGGGGCCGTATCACGTTCTCGATGAGATATCAAACCAGAGAAATCAAAAGAGTCGATCTCCCACTCGATGCCGCTGCTCACCGTCCCGATGTGCAGCCCTAAATAAAAGCCGACGGGCCTGAGCAACAGCATCACCTAGCGCAGCGCCGAGGGGGCAGGACATACCATCCAGGGGTTCGAGGCTCGAGGCGGGAGTCCCATGGGAAGGCGAACCAGCGCCCACACACGAGAACCCCGACCGGGAGCCCGACGAACCCGAGGAGGGCACGTCCTGACGCCCAGCCGAAGGAACAGGTGGTGCTCTATGTACCGCAGCCCAATGTCTGCGGAGACTAGCAACACTATCTTCAAGAGACCGAGGTTGACCGTCGTCAGCCACACAACCTGCTAGAGAAACTCGCCGACGCTTGGGACTCCAGCTACGCATACACTGCTGGATACGAGTGATGACAGGGTCATTCCTAGACACGGGCCGCCCGTCATGAGCCTCGAGAGCCTTCTGAAGATCCTCCTGAAGAATTTCCAGATGCAACTCAGCAACATGTTGATGGAAGCCATTTCTGTCCGTGAAACCGTCGGGGGAGGCGAACTTCTCTAAGGAAGGATAAGCAGCAAGGCATTTACGTACCACATTAGACATAGTACCAGCACGCAGACATCGCAGAAGTTTCAGGCACACAGCTACACGTTGATGAGGAGAGACGGGACCGAAACGATACATACGACGCGTGAGAACTTCTTTAGTGTAAAACATGCAATCCTTCAACTCCTGGAGCCTCTCGAAGGGGTCGTCGGAGAGACCAAACCTATCGGCGGCAGCCTCCAGTATCTCACAGTAGTCAGGGTGGGCCGTGACCCATCTCTGGATGCGAGGTGGCCCGACACAGCCTGGGGAGAGCTGTGCAAAGACAGGAACGTGGTCAGAGGGTTCAAACTCAGCCATCGGGTCGCCTAGTACACCAGTGCGGGGATGTAGATCGATCAGTTCTGCCGTGGGACAGTTCGTGTATATACGATCCAATCTTCCAAGGCTAGTGGTCTTACGACAACGATGCGTGAAGTCAGCTTGCTCGACTTCGGCGAACTCCCGAAATAGCTGATGGAAGGTGTTGATCACACTAGGAGCCTCACCACGCGAACTCCCGTCCGCGATAGAAACTCGATGCTCGCCGCTCTCCAAGCAGTTGAAGTCACCACCAAAGAAACAGAGAGCTTGCTCAGCGCCACGAACATACCGACGGATTTTGCGATACAGACCTTGCCTAACGAGAGGAGAATGAAGTGGGTTGATGTGGACATTACCAATCTGCAGAGTGCCCGAGATCCCAGAGAGAGTGAGAAACAAGATGCGCCCAGCTTCCATAACCTTCGGAGTGACTTGGGAGAAAGAGGAGTAAAGCCTAGAGCAAATCGAAACAGTGACCCCCCCCGCCCGATGGGACGAACAGAAGCTGCCGAAATGCTTAAACTTAGGGAAATCTCTACGGAGGCTCGTGAGATCTTGACGGGTGCCGTGGACCTCTTGGAGCAAGACCACTTGATATTTATCGAACAGCTTAGCGACCTTATCCGAACGCCGGCGCTGCAGCTCATGCTTGCCAAAAACGCTACCGAAATACGCAGATGTGTTATACGAGCTCATGCCGAAACAAGAATTAAAAGCGAAGGGCTTGTACCACTCAGAAGGCGGAGGAGAGGGGGAAGAGGAGGACGACGAGGACGAGGAAGAGGAAGAGGAAGAACTACCATCGTCAGAACCCCTACCGTCAGAATGGCAGGACCCAGCATTCCGACATTCCGACAAGTGGCAAGAGCGAGGACAAAAATTCTGAGAGGCCGTCAGTCCTTGAAGCTGCCGAGGAAGATCCTAGCGCGGAACATCGACTTGAACCCGCTCGCCGAACGAGGCGATCTTCGCATCAGGGATGCCCAGGTCCTTGAGATTGGTGGCGAACGGCTCCACAGAGAAGTCACCTGATAGATCCCCACCAACATTGGTGAGCTGCACCAACTTGACATACTCGTCATTGTCCACCAGGAACACAGTGCCTTTGAAAGGGTCAGTGCCCAACTTGTAGTGTGAGCGCCAACAACCATGCTCATGCAAGAGTTGATTCGCCACGGCCCACGATTTAGACAAAGCAATCTTCTTCAGACGAACAGGAAGAGGTTGATCGGAACCAACTCGCAAAGTGTGCCGCTTCATGCTATCTTTGTTGTCGCACCAGTACGGAGGTTTGTCGCGAGCCTCAGCGATGAATGCTTTAGCGAGCTCAGCCGAAGGGAAGACGATAGGATACGTGTACTTGCCGTTAGCAGGCTTGCACTCGGTGTTGGCCAACGAGGGGTACACAGGAACGATCTGGGCGAAGTGCTTCTTGAACGCCGAGGCCATCATTTCCCTCGGGAAACCACGAAGCCAAACACGATTGTCCTGCCTGCCTATCGACGACAAGTCCGGGCCCGATAACCGAGGGGCAACTCGTCGACCATTATCAGAGCTACCAGATGCATACGACGTTGGAGCACGGGACAAGGACGCGATAGACGTCTGGATCGTTGCCAATGTAGCATTGATGTCCGAGATCTTCTTGTCGGTCTGCGCGCTGAGCACGGAGACGGAAAGGGCCTCGTCGACCATCTCCGTGTCATCCAGCTCACGAGAGTTGATGGTGTCGATCTGCTTCTGCAAGGCGTCGAAGCGCGTGTCGATCTCGGTGCGCATCTCCGTGCGCATGTCACTCATCTCCGTGGTGAGCGATGCCAACCGCTTGTCATGACTGCAGACCGCATTGCTAACCTGTGCCATTGACGCCAGCAGCTGATCCATTTTCTGATCCATGGAGAGGGCGCCCGACATCGCGCTGATGGAGCACCGTAGGCGAAGGAGAGTACTGTATCAAACACAGAGGCAAAATGATGATGATGATGATGATGATGATGATGGTGATGATGATGCTGATGATGCTGATGCTGATTCTGATGCTGAGGCTGAGGCAGAGGAGATGGAGGAGGAGGAGGAGGAGGAACGGGAGGATGAGGAGGAGGGGGAGAGGGAAGAGCAGGAGGAGGAGGAGGAGGAGGAGGAGGAGCGCCAGGGAGGAGGGCCCCGAGGGGGGCGGCGAGGCGGGAGCGACGGCGACGAAAACTGCGGGGTCCTCCTCTTCCAGCTCCCGGCTGTGCGTGGACATGTTGCCGACGAGCCACAAGATCTGTTCGGGGGGCGCCACCGGCCCGCCAATTGCCACCTCCAAGGGGCCGAGGGCGGGGAGGCGCGGAGAAGGGAGCAGGGCGATGAGGAGGGCAGCATGAGGAGGAGAGGGGGAGAGGGGGGGGGGCGGAGGAGGAGGAGGAGGAGGAGGAGGAGGACGAGGAGGAGGAGGAGGAGGAGGCGTGGGAGGGAGAGGAGGGGGAGGAAGAGGAAGAGGAGGAGCAGGAGGAGGAGGAGGAGGAATAGGAGGAGGAGGGCGAGGAGGAGTGGAGCAGGACGGGGAGATGGGGGGGAATGGGGAGCAGGAGACGGGGAGAAGCGGAAAAGAGCAGGACACGGCTTGGCGACGCGGGTGCGGAGGAGGAGGAGAAGGAGCAGGAGCGGAGCAGGGAGACAAGGAGACAAAGCAGGAGGAGGAGGAGGACAAGAATGATGCAGTACGGAAAATGAAACTGATCAGTGGAAAGAGGACGAGGACGAGGAAGACGATGAGGACTGTTTGTGGTGGTACTGATGCGGGGCAGGATCAAGACGAGAAACCGAGAAGGACAAGGCGCAGCAGGAAATGCACAAGGAGGAGCATGCAGATACTAAACACGAGCATAATCAAATTAGGGCGCGGCTGAGGTACATCAGGGCAGTGGCAGGAAGAGGGACGCACAGAGCCAAGAGGATCACGACGAGGACGACAAGGACGAGGAGCAGGACCAGCAGAAGGAGGAGGCGCAACAGCAGTAGATGCAGGAATACGCTGATGATGATGGTGGGCGGGAGGAGGAGGAGGAGGAGGAGGAGGTGGATGAGGAGTAGGAGCAAGGAGGAGGAGCAGGAGGAGGAGGTGCAGGAGGAGGAGGTGCAGGAGGAGGAAGAGGTTAAGCCAAGAAGGTGGAGGAGCCAAGCGCCCGCGAGGCGTCAGAGGGCAGCGGCGAGAAGCGACAGGAGGACGAGACAGGAGGAGGGCGACGAGCAGCTGGGGCAGGATGTTTTTCACAGCGATACATCTGACCACCTCAGCTTCGATGCCTGTGACACACGTCAGCGGCGGAGCTGCGCTACAGCCTGAAACGGAGAAACGAACAAACGGCCGCAGGTCCGCGGAGACACTAAATACCCCGTGCGAGCTAGAAAGAGCACGCCGTGAAACGACTAGGAAACGACGAGCAGCTGGGGCAGGAGCAGAAGGAGGAACAGCCGGAGTGTGCAGGAGAGGGGGGGGGCAGTCGCCACCGACGCCAGCTCGCCCCCAAGCAATCCCACCAGCCCTCTGGGCGACAGGTGGTATGACGATGTCTTTCTTTCCTCTTCCACTACCCCTTCTTCCCCTGCTGGGAGGGCTTGACCACTGTTCCTTATTCATATACACCTCCTCCCCCAGGCGACCGGGGGCCAACCCGACCCCATGCCGACACCATGGCGACACCATGCCGACCCGCACCCCACCATCACTGTCAACAAACAATACCAACCGCACTATGCCTCCACATTTGGAGCATGCGCGGCCAACCCGAAGCGGCCCCCCCACCATCCCTACCACAAAACAATGCAAGGTACACTTTGGGGCAAAGTCTTGAGTCATGTTCGTGAGGCCCGCGAGCACTTTGTATTGTTTTTGACAGGGACGGCGGGGGTGTCAGCATATTCCCTGCTACGCGCAGAGCTACCATCCCTGATAAAAAAGTACAACATGCACCTCGCGGCTAAATCTGGATCATGCGCGGCCATCCCGCGATCACTGTCAAATGGTCTTTGACAGGGACGGCGGGGGTGGTGCGTGGCCTGTTGTGCGTCGGCCCACCAGGCACAATGATGGGCATCGGTTTTCGACAAGGATGGTGGGAGCCGACATGTTTCCCGATGTGTGCTGTCACGTGCGCAAGCGCACCTGACGCACTCCGCACGTGCCCCGAACGCGGCGCACCTGGCGCGGCTGGAGTGTGCGGCACACCTGGCGCACTCGGAGCACGTGGCGCATCTGGCGCACCATGCGTGCCTGGCACGCTCGGGCCCCAGGGGTGCCTCGCGCGCGTGGCGCGCCTGGCACGCGTGGCGCACCTCGCCCAAGCGTCGCGCACCTGGGGGATCGGCTCTGCTTCCCAGTAACTGTCCATCCAAAGACGACCGCTGAACATGCTCAGGCTCGGGTGTTACGTATGTGTAGGGAGGGAGGGTGGGAGTGAGCTAGACGGCTTGCGGGCGGGTGGGTAGCTTGACTCCTCCCCCTGCTCCCTCCCCTGGACCTGGACGGGGGGGTTCGCGAGGGGTTGGGGCGTCCAAGATTGCCGAAGATGGCTCCAAGAGGGCATCAGAGAGCCTAAGATGGCCTCCAAGATCGCTCAAGATAGCCCAAAATGGCTCAAGCTAGCTAACAGCATGCCTCTAAGAGGCCCCAAGAAGGCCACAAGACGGATCCAAATGCTTTTGGCGACACCTCAGGACCTCCCCGAGACGCCAAAAGTCTTCAAACATCTAAGGCAAGCCCATGATGTGTGCCTTCTCGCCGTTTCGCTTCCGATGCGCTTTTGAGCCCCACGAGAACTCCAAAAAGGGCCCAAGATGGCCCACGAGAGCTCCAAGAAGGGCCCAAGAGGCCCCCAAGACTGCACCAAGAGCGCCCAAGATCGCCACAAGAGGGCCCCAAGAGCGCCCCAAGAGGCTATGTCAATGGCCCTGAAGGGCGGAGGCAAATCGAGGACCCCCCCTCCTTTGATCGATGATCTCTAAGATGGCACCAGGAGGCGTCCATAGCTTCCAAGAGGGCCCCAGGTAAGCCCCAAGAGGCCCCAAGAAGGCAACAAGACGGATCCAAGTGCTTTTAGCGACACCTCAGGACCTCCCCGAGACGCCAAAAGTCCTCAAACATCTAAGGCAAACCCATGATTTGTGCCTTCTCGCCGTTTCGCTTCCGATGCGCTTTTGAGCCCCACGAGAACTCCAGAAAGGGCCCAAGATGGCCCACGAGAGCTCCAAGTAGGGCCCAAGAGGCCCCCAAGACTGCACCAAGGGCGCCCAAGATCGCCACAAGAGGGCCCCAAGAGCGCCCCAAGAGGCTATGTCAATGGCCCTGAAGGGCGGAGGCAAATCGAGGACCCCCCCTCCTTTGATCGATGATCTCTAAGATGGCACCAGGAGGCGTCCATAGCTTCCAAGAGGGCCCCAGGTAAGCCCCAAGAGGCCCCAAGAAGGCAACAAGACGGATCCAAGTGCTTTTAGCGACACCTCAGGACCTCCCCGAGACGCCAAAAGTCCTCAAACATCTAAGGCAAACCCATGATTTGTGCCTTCTCGCCGTTTCGCTTCCGATGCGCTTTTGAGCCCCACGAGAACTCCAGAAAGGGCCCAAGATGGCCCACGAGAGCTCCAAGTAGGGCCCAAGAGGCCCCCAAGACTGCACCAAGGGCGCCCAAGATCGCCACAAGAGGGCCCCAAGAGCGCCCCAAGAGGCTATGTCAATGGCCCTGAAGGGCGGAGGCAAATCGAGGACCCCCCCTCCTTTGATCGATGATCTCTAAGATGGCCCCAGGAGGCGTCCATAGCTTCCAAGAGAGCCCCAGGTGAGCCCCAAGAGGGCGCCAAGATGGCCCCACGAGAACCCCAAGGCGCCCCAAAAGAGCCCCAAGAGGACCCCAAGATCCCCCGAAGAGCCCCAAGAGGGCCACAAGATGCCCCAAAAGAGCTGGAAGAAGATCCCAATATCCCCCGATGCAGCCCAGTAGCTCCAAGAAGGCCTCCGATGCTCATAGATAGCCTCCAAGATGGCTCAACACCCTCCTTCCTCTCTTCTCCTTGTCTCTTCGTCCCTTTTTCCGTCAGCTCTCATTGGCAGGGCTCCTGAATGGGCTGGTCGGGACTTGCGAAGCGTAAACCATCTGTTGGGCTCCTTAGAACTGGGTCCCAACAAGCGGTCGGACTAACGGTGGGACGCGTCCACATCCAATTGTGGCGAAAGCAAAAGACGGGCAACGCGGGAGGAGGAAGCGGCCACGGAACGGCCAGCGAGCTCTCAGACCGAGGCTCGCTACACAGACCGTGCACGGTGGGCGAGCAGAACGGAACGGGAACTGCTCGGCGAGAAGCATCGGCTGCTGCACTGCTCGCAACGGCTGCGGACCTCAGGCAGACAGGTCTCCACAGCGAGAGACGCCCAGCACGGATGCGAACCCCCTTCCTCTGCAGATAGGGCGACAGGAGGGCACGGCGAGCAGCCAGAATGCGACAGGACAGCGCGCGGAGAAGAGCACCGGCAGCCCGGTCAAAGAGTGCGCGTGGTGAGGGAGACGAGGGCGTGCTGGGGTCAGCCCGACGACATCAAAGCGTGCGCGTGATGAGACGGGCTCGAATAAATGAGGGGGCGATAAGTGGGGGGGGCAGCAAGGGCTGCAGAAAAGGGGCCCTTTAGGGCCCCAGAGGGAGCCTTTAGGGCCCGAAAAGGGTACCTGCCTTCCCCTCCCTTTTATCGCGCCCTCAACTATTCACGCCCAAATGAATTAAAGAGAGCCCCGTCCGGTGTGCCTCTGCAGTAAGAGCACGTACCAAGGAGACCGGATGGGGCGTTGGGCCTGCGTTTACATCGTCAAGTGCGGCAGCCAGTCTTACGACCCGAAGTCATGCTCGTGGAGTACTGCGAGCGGCGTAGGCTCACATGCTACGTTCACCGTGTAAAATTGGCGGCGGCACTGGAATCGCAGATGATGCCAAAACTGCTCTCCGGACCTGCCATTGAAGCAGATGTCGGCCGGCAGTCCCTGAATGCACGGAGTAGAAACAGGGCCCGCACAGGAACCCCAAGGTGCGCACCCATTGAAGCCATTGCTGCCATCATATCTCCTAGTGCCGCACCAAGCTCGTACATTAGGATAGCCACGCACAAGTGCCTGGGCCCTGGCGCCATCAGACGCCGCTGTGATCCGCCTCAGCAAAGTCTTACTCACGACCTCGAGAGTGGAGTAGAGCGCCGGCGCACCCTTGGCACAGTCCTGCTCGTCACCTGTCTGTATCAGCCTCAGCGACGCCCTGGGACACGACCACCTTCCTGGCCACGACCTGTGGCTTCCCAACCTGAACTCTCAATGAGATTGCCCCCGTCTCCACGGCACACGTCTGGTCCAGCGCACTGCTTACGTGCACGATCTGAAGCCAGCTCGCCGACGACGCGTCGGCAACCTCAGGCGAGATGCTCAGAGCGATTGAGGCTGAGAGTTCGCACGCCGAACCACGATGCACTTGGCAACATGACCGCATGCTGATACGACGCAAAGTCCTGGGATCCGAGCGCCATGGCACGAGTGCTGAAGAGGTGCGCCTGGCCCGCCCCCGATAATAGGAGGCACGGCAACGCCATCGCCAGTCGTCCCTCCGAAGTCCGAGGTGTAAGTGCTGGTGCCCCGCGCAGGCAACAGCAGCACACCTGACGAGGCGCACGAGCGTGAAGTACTGGGCAACGAGCGCACACCGGCACGATCTGTCCTGCCAAATCGCTGGGAAGTTGACCAGAATTCTCGGCAGTCCAGGGCCCACAGATCCGCGACAGTAGGCACCTCTCCGAATGCCTGCGCTTGGCCGCCCACAACTTGCACGACGGACTGACGTGAAATCACCTCACACAAATGAAACGAGAGTGCACCTCTTGCAGCAATCATCGCGCGGGTGATTCTGGTCGAGCTCGAGTTGATACTGAAGATAAAGCGCTCGTGCAACGCAAACCAAACGAGAACCAAGGACAATCTCAAAAAAACGTGAGCCGGTGCCATGCAGCGGCACGGTCACGGCCACACCCGCGCGAGCGAATGAGCTGGTTCTCTTGGCAGTCGAGCTGAAACCGAACACGAGCTGCCGAGAAACTTCCCGCGCGCAACCACGATATCTTTTAGCCATGACGCCATGACGACGGATGAGCCATACACGGATCCTGATGGTAGTAGGTGAGGCTGCCAGCTGGAAGGGGGACGTCCGCCAACCCCGAGGACCTTGAGCCAGCAATTCTACGTGGGGGGAGTGGAAGAATAAGGAGGAGGTCTGGAGAAGGATGAGGAGGATCAGACGCAGAAGGAGAAGGAAGCCTGCCTCGAGCTCGCTGAAGATGTCATCGCAGGGATCGGTGCAGCACAGGAGGTAGTGCTGCGAGGCGAGGGCGCAATTCGACGCGGCCGAAAGGTAGTTCGGGATGATCACCTCCTTGCCGTGAAACCGAGATGTCTCGTCAAGCGCACCCAACTCGCGCAGGTAGTCCTCCGACTCGGCAAAGCGCCACTCGAGGCTCAGGGGCTTTGAGTAAAACAAGCTGAGGGGAACGCGGCCCGTGTGGGACGCGTCCATGCTGACGAGCTGGTCCCTCATCTCAATACACAAGTCGTCCCAGTAGAAGGCGAACGAAGACGTTATGGTCGATACAATCTCCTTGAGGTCGCTGAAGGTGTACATCGGTTCCAGTATCTTTGCGCTGTGGAAGCGCTTGAAATCAAAATTCCGCACCACCCCGTCCCTGAATGAAATGATCCGGTCCCATCCAGGGAACTCGTAGTGTAGCCTTGCCGGGTCCCTCCTGCGGGATGTCCGCATTACATCCACTCATATGGTCGTCCACCCAGATTCGCCAGTCCACCACTCCCCCTCTTCTTCCTCCGCATCCTCCTCCGCATCCTCCTCCCCTCCTCCTCCTGCTCGCCCCTTCCTCGCCCGCCTCCCCCTCTCGTTTCCCCCTCGTCCTCCGATCTGGAGGAGGAGATTATCCCGGCAAAGCAACCTAACATCGATGTGTAGGAGCATATCTGGAAGCATTCCCCTTAAGATTCGGATGAGAATCCAGTTTTAGAATTCTGCTGTTCTCGCAGTCGTAGTCGCATTCGCGATGACAGTCGCAGTGGCAACGGCAGTCGCAGTCACAGCCTCAGCCTCAGCCTGCCTCAGCCTCAGCCTCAGCCTGCCTCAGCCTCAGCCTGCCTCAGCCTCAGCCTCAGCCTGCTCAGCCTCAGCCTCAGCCTCAGCCTCAGCAGCTCAGCCTGGCCTCAGCCTCAGCCTGCCTCAGCCTCAGCCTCCTGCTTCAGCCTCAGCCTCAGTCTGCCTTCAGCCTCGGCCTCAGCCTCAGCCTGCCTCAGCCTCAGCCTGCCTCAGCCTCAGCCTCAGCCTCAGCCTGCCTCAGCATCAGCCTGCCTCAGCCTCAGCCTCAGCCTCAGCCTCAGCCTCAGCCTCAGCCTGCTTCAGCCTCAGCCTCAGTCTGCCTTCAGCCTCGGCCTCAGCCTCAGCCTGCCTCAGCCTCAGCCTGCATCAGCCTCAGCCTCAGCCTCAGCCTGCCTCAGCATCAGCCTGCCTCAGCCTCAGCCTCAGCCTGCCTCAGCCTCAGCCTCAGCCTGCTTCAGCCTCAGCCTCAGTCTGCCTTCAGCCTCGGCCTCAGCCTCAGCCTGCCTCAGCCTCAGCCTGCATCAGCCTCAGCCTCAGCCTCAGCCTGCCTCAGCATCAGCCTGCCTCAGCCTCAGCCTCAGCCTGCCTCAGCCTCAGCCTCAGCCTCAGCCTGCTTCAGCCTCAGCCTCAGTCTGCCTTCAGCCTCGGCCTCAGCCTCAGCCTGCCTCAGCCTCAGCCTGAGCCTCAGCCTCAGCCTCAGCCTGCCTCAGCCTCAGCCTGCCTCAGCCTCAGCCTCAGCCTGCCTCAGCCTCAGCCTCAGCCTGCTTCAGCCTCAGCCTCAGTCTGCCTTCAGCCTCGGCCTCAGCCTCAGCCTGCCTCAGCCTCAGCCTGCATCAGCCTCAGCCTCAGCCTCAGCCTGCCTCAGCCAGCCTCAGCATCAGCCTGCCTCAGCCTCAGCCTCAGCCTCAGCCTCAGCCTGCTTCAGCCTCAGCCTCAGTCTGCCTTCAGCCTCGGCCTCAGCCTCAGCCTGCCTCAGCCTCAGCCTGCATCAGCCTCAGCCTCAGCCTCAGCCTGCCTCAGCATCAGCCTGCCTCAGCCTCAGCCTCAGCCTGCCTCAGCCTCAGCCTCAGCCTGCTTCAGCCTCAGCCTCAGCCTGCCTTCAGCCTCGGCCTCCGCCTCAGCCTGCCTCAGCCTCAGCCTGCATCAGCCTCAGCCTCAGCCTCAGCCTCAGCCTCAGCCTGCCTCAGCATCAGCCTGCCTCAGCCTCAGCCTCAGCCTCAGCCTCAGCCTCAGCCTCAGCCTCAGCCTCAGCCTCAGCCTGCCTCAGCCTCAGCCTCAGCCTGCCTCAGCCTCAGCCTCAGCCTCAGCCTCAGCCTGCCTCAGCATCAGCCTGCCTCAGCCTCAGCCTGCCTCAGCCTCAGCCTCAGCCTGCTTCAGCCTCAGCCTCAGTCTGCCTTGCCTTCAGCCTCGGCCTCAGCCTCAGCCTGCCTCAGCCTCAGCCTGCCTCAGCCTCAGCCTCAGCCTGCCTCAGCATTCAAAATGTGGCCCGGGAATGGAATTCTGGGAACTCGAAGAACACGAAGTGGCCTACAGTTGGCTCCGGGCATTCAAAATCATGCCCAGGAATGGAATTCTGGGAACTCGAAGATCACGAAGTGGCCTACAGTTGGCTCCGGGCATCCAAAATGTGGCCCGGGAATGGAGTTCTGGGAAGTCGAAGAACACGAAGTGGCCTACAGTTGGCTCCGGGCATCCAAAATGTGGCCCGGGAATGGAGTTCTGGGAACTCGAAGAGCACGAAGTGGCCTACAGTTGGCTCCGGGCATCCAAAATGTGGCCCGGGAATGGAGTTCTGGGAAGTCGAAGAGCACGAAGTGGCGTACAGTTGGCTCCGGGCATTCAGAATGTGGCCCGGGAATGGAGTTCTGGGAAATCGAAAAGCACGAAGTGTGTGACTGTATGCAAAAAACGATCCCCCCCGGAAAACCCCAACGGCTCCCCAACGGCTGCCCAGACCCCCCTGTGGAGTAATGTGCTGCTCTCTTTTTAGACCACTAGAAACCTACCAGTCTTCGATGTTAGGTAAAAATGAAAAAGAAGGGGAAAGGAACAAAAAGGCTGGGACAAACAGAAGGAAAAGGTGGATGGATGAGGGAGCAGGAGTGCGGGAGGATCAGGGATGATGAGGGGTGACGAGCAACAGGGACGAAGAGGGAGAAAAGAAGAGGAGGAGGAGGAGGAGCAGAACCAGTGCAAAGCCAAGAAGCATCAACGTTATGGCAAGAAAGCCTCCATCCAAATTCCCTCGTCATGGGTCCCTTCCAACAAACAACAATACGGGGAAAAACACCTTAGAAGACAACCGTCTGAAAACCCTCAGCCGTAAACACAATTCCTCGGACTTCAGCGACGCGGATCAACGTGACTACTGCGTCCTGGCAATCCTAAACCGTGCGAGAACAACATTCCTGATACCCCAACACCGCGAACCAACGTGCCAATTGCTTCCAGAAAATCCTGCATCAGGCCAGACCGCCAATCGTGAAACTTCAGCTGTACGCATGCGCGCGGCGCTAAGCTGAGAACTACACTTGGAAAACCACCCGCCCACTATCCCTGAAACGGTTGCAACTATTCCGACGAATGTGCGCGGCGCTGGGGAAAGAACCACACGATGAACACGACCCGCCGTCCATCCGCGAAACTGCTGCGAACACAGCGCTGAAGCGAGAACCCAAATTTGAAAACGGCCCGCCCTCCATCCGTGAATATGGCGCAACTACTGTTACAACGTTCAAGCTACAACATTATAAGTGGTCAGGACGTCTCAACTGAAACACCTAACCCGCCCTACCGACACGCCTGGGGGTGCAACAGGGAGGAGTTATCCAGAAGGAGAAGGAAATGGAGGACGAAGCGGTGCGGGCGGAGGGAGGCGATGTGAGGAGGAGTGAGGGGAGGACGAGGAGGAAGATGGTGATGGTGATGAGGAGGATCTGAGGAGGTGCTGTGAGGGGAGGGAAGATGAGGTGTTAGGGAGACAGTGTAACGAGGAGCAGGAGGAGGAGAAGGAGGAGGAGGAGGAGAAGCGGGGATAATGACACGGAGGCAGAGCGGGAGGAGGAAGGAAAAAAGAGGATGAGCGGGAGGAGGAGGAGGAGGAGGAGAAAGAAGACAATGATGATGAGGCAAACGGCGACAGGGCCCCAACCTGGCTGGGCGCAGCCGAGGGGCTCCCGTCCTGAACCTCTGCAGGGCCGCGGCGTCGTCCTGCATCAGCCAGCTCGCCATGTAGTCCAGCAGGACGTCCAACAGACCATGGAACAGCGAGAGGAGAGGGAAATAGGAGGGGCCTGCAATGAGGAGGGCGGGAGGAGGAGAAGGGGAGGAGGCGGCGGACGAAAGAAATGATTCAAACTTTGCACGTGCACTGATACATAGAGAGATAGAGAGAGAGAGAGAGAGCAAGAGAAACAGAAAAAGAGAGCGAGAGAGCGAAATAGAGAGAGAGAGAGAGAAAACAACAAAAACGGCAGAAAGAGAGAGGGGGAGAGAGAGAGAGAGAGAGAGAGAGAGAGAGAGAGGGAGAGCGAGAGAGAGGGAGAGAGAGTGAGAGAGAGAGAGAGGAGGCAGAGGAGGGGGATGAGGGACTTGGGGGCGGAAAGGATCGGAACAGAACAGCTGAAGAATGTCCACACGG